AGTTTCCATGAGTGGTCCCCAAAATCAGTCGGCACGGGAGGGCAGCAGTCTCCACTTGCGTTGTACATATACCACGACACCTTCAAGCCTGTTCCCCCGCTCTTAATTTTCAGCATCTTCCTACGCAGAACACTTGAGCTTTGCTGCGATGGGCTGGGACAGAGATGAGACGGGACAACTCACCTCTGCCAGCGGGGAGGCAGGCTCAGAGCTGCTCGGGGCATCACTCGGAAGCACGAGTGGAGACATTTGGGCTGACGGAGCGTTTTGCTGGCCCCAACTGAGCATCCTCTATGGGCTCGGAGCTGAACCGACCACTTTGGCAAAGCCGGGGCCGAGCCTCAGCCACGTGCACGGCAGCACTGCGCCCTGGCGCATCCTCCAGCCGGCCAGAAGACAGCCCGTGACTGAGATGTGACCAGAAGCTGTCACTGCTCCAGGCTGAATGGAGAGACCTCCAGGTAGCACCCACAACACCCCACAGCAGAGACCTACGGCACGCAGACAACCTGCCCCTCCAGCGCGGGAGCCGCTGCAGCAGAGATGGCTCCAGCTCTATTTCTTTTCCACAACCACTAAATATTAAACCCGAGCTCAGCCTCTCCCAAATTCTGTAGCAGCGGTTTCTGCTAAAACCCAACTGGCCTTTTTCACTCCGCCCTCCCCAAAGAAGGCTGAAATGCCAAATAATAATAATTTTAAAAAGCATACATAAACATTAGTGTCACACACACGGAATTACTGCGGCAAAATTGCTCCTACAGGAAGGAAGGATGGAGCCGAATGCTCTCGCTACCACACAAATCACACAGGCTGAGGAGAGGACACGTGTTTCTACAGCACCCAGGGGAAACACAGACACGGAATTACCTCAAAGATGGATGCAAATATACCGACGGGTTTAAGAGGAGCCTGTCCCTGCGAGCAAAACAATGAGACAAAGGAAGAAAGTGATCATGAAGATGATGGCAGCAGGCAAAGGAGCTCGTTATTTCTGTACGTAACGAGCCCGGCGAGCAGCGTGAAATGGAGAATGGAGCATGGAGAATGGAGCACTGGTCACGTTGACTTGCAGCCTGAAGGGCAGATGAGGACAGGCACTGGTGGCACTGGTACAAACCCCAGGCACTGGTGGCACTGGCACTGCTGCTGAAGGCTCCAGCGGGCTCCCAGCACAGGGCTGCTGCCCAGCTGTGCTCTCCTGGGCTGTGCACCCTGGCACCTCTGGGGTTTTGGTGCCCCATCACAGCCGTGGCATTGCCGCCGCGTGCGATGGAGCGGCCAAGCACAGCGTAGGCAGAGCCACGGGAGGGTCCTGCCGATGGTGGTTCTTTGCCAGAGGAAAGTTCTGTGCCACGGCTGGTGCCTTGGTCCTTGGGAGGACGAGGATACCTACCTGCCCCGCGGGCATGGCTCTTCCCATGAGACACGCTGCAGCAAAAATGGAGAAGGCCGTCACCTGGGTCTGACTGTGTTCTGAAAGCATCTATGGGGCACCTACCCAAAACCTTCCTGGGACTGCAGAGACAGACACCGAGCACCAGTAGAGACCACGGGAGGACCTTCAGTGGAAACATCTGGCATACTTAGACCCAGCCTGCAGCTCTTTCCTTTGTCGGAGATGATGCTGCAGACCTGGCTCTCCTCGGGGGAATCTCTGCAGCCTGCTTTTGAGCAGCCCTATGGCACCGACACCGAGGATTTTCTCAGCACAAATTCTCCACGAGGCAGATACCTCTCGGCTGCTTTTTTTTTCCACTTGGAAACCTGACTCAGCCATTTTTTTTACCTCCCTCTCCTCCCTGCCCTGCCTACATGGGCAGTGTGGCCCTAAGGGCAGCGACTGCTATTTTGCTTTCGTTTTGGGAAGGCTGGAAAGGGGGTAGGCTTTCTAAAAACAGCCCGATTCCCCCATGCAGGAGCTGACAACCACATTTCATCAATAGTAATAGCAGCCATAATGGGAAAGTAAATTGGGTCTGTCAAAACACGGCAATTCATTTGATGGGTAGTGGTTGCAATAAATGAGAGTAATAAAATGTGGTGAAGCCAGGGCTGACTTAATTAGAAGAAATCTAGAGCAGGCAGAAGGTACATAGCAAACGCTGTCAGCAGAAACCCAGAACTTAGCTGTGGAGGCTAAACACCTGGGGTTAAAAAACACCCCACGACTGGAAAAATTAGAAATGATCAGCTCCTTCTGCCGCCATCGTTAAGGCTTGAGCCTGGCCCTGGTCTGCAGGACCTGCAAGGCTCAAAGAATCGCTGCATCTTTGGGCACATCCTGCGTGAAAGGGTCTGGTGCCAACCAGTCCCCAAGCAGCTCAGCGGTGACAGATGGCTTCTGGGTGCGTGTGGGTGCTCTTGTGGGAGAGGCAACCACCGCGAAACACAAATTGCTAAACGGGGGCATCTCCGTTTTAGTTCCCCTCTACCTGGAGAACGTGCCTGTTATTTTAACAGCTGCATTTTTAACTTCTCATTGCTATTAAACAAAGCATTAAATAACAGCCAGGACAGGATTTGCTTCTTCCAGGTCCAAGGAGGGCTGAAAAATTGCCCTCTCCTCCCAGGGATACGTTAAGAACTCTTTTGAATGACTGATGTCTAAAGGAACAAAGGCTGTGGCAAACACGAAAGCCCTCCTGCTCCCATTCTGCGCAAGCCGCTTCTGCAGGAAGCATTTCCAAGAACAGAGCCCAGCACACTGTGTACAGGTAACGCAGGGAGAAATTAAAAAAAAAAAGACTCAACCGCATGATTTAATTTCCTCCTCTCCAAATCCCAAAGAGCACGCTTAAAGGACAGATCCATTTTAAGAACCATCAATTAGGCATCAAATACCAGAAAGCAGACTCAGCTGTCAGAGGATTTCCTGCAAAAATATATTCTCAGTGCGGGCACAGATGCAAGATGCTCGAAGCAGCAGCGAGCGGGGCTCTGGCAATTGCACATGCATCCTAATTAAATTGAAACTGGAGTTTTCTAATCGCTTTTCCTTTTTCTTATGCAGAAACACAAGGTTTTTTCTACCTGTAACTAGAAGGAAATCCCATATTACAAAAGCTAATTTCTTTCTCGCACTAGAGACGCTGTCGTGGGGGAGGAGAAGCTCTGTGCTGGAGAGCTTGGGAATCTGTGGCTTGTTTTATTTTTCTCCTCTCAGCTCCTTGTGGGCAACCACACAGCAGCAGGGACAGAGAGAGGCAACGGCCACGGGCCCTGCTCTTTTGGCAAGTCCCACTTTCGGGGTGCCCTGTCCAGCTACAGGGGTGGGAACGGCGCCTGACACGCAGGAACCCTGCCGAGCCTTTACGCTTCAACAATATTCTCTGTTCCTGCTAGGTCCTGGGAATTTATAGTTACCCAGGCTCACTCAAAACTTATTTTAACTACTACAGTGCTATTCATAACATTTGCACCAATATTATATTTTATATGTGTATTAAGGGTGGTTTTACTAGAGAACGAGGCACTATGAATTAAGAACTGGATGGGCTTAGTGTCTAGCTCTGTTTGCCCTGTGGAAATAACACTGTAATCAAGAGATAACTCACTGAACAATGAACATGCCCATTTAGACTCGGTTCACTTAAAATCAATGTCATTAGACTCAACAAATGTATTTAAATTTAAAACATCGCATTCAAACAGCCCAACGTTTGAAATAATAATCCACATTCCTTAAGGGGAAAAAAAAAAAAAGTAAGTCCCTGCTGCTGTGTTTAACACATGACACTTTGCTGAAGAGACTTTGCCAGCGTCTTTCTTTCAAACAGAAGGGTTTTGACGTGGGTTCTTGGAGCTCCAGTTGTGCATGAATTAATTTAGGATAAAGTCAATTGTTACTGCCAAAACTTGCACGAGACCGAGAAATTGAGCGCAGGGGTTAGTGCAGTGGAGAACTGGCACATTCAAAGACCATTTGCCCTTTTTTTTTTTTGACCTCTCCAGGTGCTTACACTGGTGGCAGAGGCCAGGCCAGCAAAGCCACAGCTCCGTCCCTGATCTGACACGTTCTTGTAAACCGAGGGCGCTGGACACAGCAGCACAGCAGCGGATCTTATACACGGTTTACAAAAACCTCTTAGTCTAGTGCCAGGTGAGGAGACTGAATCCACACCTGGGGCTGAAACGAGCAGAGACAGGGAAAGACTCCAGTTTTGTATAAGCTGTGAAGAATTAAGACTGTTAACTTCAGAAAAGAGAAGAAAGCCAAAAGGCCTGAGAGGATTTTGAAAGGGATTAGACAGTGATAACGTGGGTAACCAGAAACTTCTCAGCTACATCAGATCAAGTGAATTTCACTTATTCTGAGCAGATAATAAAGCTGTAGTATTGGGGTCAAGGAGCTTCCACACCATTTGCGTAGCGACATGAGCTTTCAAGCATCTCAAATGAAGGTGGAAGGAAACAGGTCACTTCTGGAAACAGACTCAGGCATTACAACAGCAGACCACCTTGAAATAGCAATTTGGGCAGAGTCTGAGGAAGAAGAAAGAAGAAATCCTGCCCTGCTGTGAATCAGCCATCCTGGACAGCAGGAAACATGCAACACATTTTTCTTCAAATTTAGTAAAGGTTCTCCCACCTCAGAGCGACACAATGACCAGGAATGACAGTGAAGATACAGGCAGGAACGTGTCAAATTAGCAATAACTAATTTGGAAGGCAAATAGCCAAGGGAAACAAATGAGGACAAACGAAAAAGGAGCCGTGACTGCCATGCCCGTCAGATATACCCCATGGTAGCCCTCGTTGGGGGAATGTTTAACCATTAAAACTGTGTTTAATATTAACCGGTCCTGAACCAAAAGGCAGAGTCTCTGATACAGAGTCGAGCCCTAAAGGATCAGCATCTTTAACTGAGCTGAGCGCTTCAATCCCCACATACGCGAGAGCGACGCACACACACACTCCTCTCTCTGCACTGCAAAGGTGCAGCGAGGCTCAGCGTGCCAGGCCTGGTACTGGGATTTGGGGTGGAAAAGGATCATTCTGGGACAACACAGCTTTGTTGGGACCTGCAGCCTTACAGATTCTGCACGGTAAGAAGAGGAAAATAGCCGTGCTGGGTCAGGCTACTGGTCCAGCTGATACTTACTGGACTGACAGCCCAGAACCCCAGCTCTGAAAGGGATGGGTAACCAACGTGAGGGAGAAAAAGTAAGAGCCAAGTAAAGGACAGAGGAATTCTCCCCCAGCCCTATACATCCAGACAGTTTAAAATTGGTTGACAAAACTAACAATAATTAGTCTTCTCCCTTTTTAATCCCAATATAGACATTTATCGCCAATCTCTAAAATATTCCATTGCAATGTGTTCCACTATTTCACACAGGTGTGTGTAGAATACTGCATTCCTTCTCAAATGAAAGAGCAATGTCCACGTGTTCTCTGCCCTGCGTCTCCACGGTGTCCCTGCCCAGACTTGGGCCCCACACACAGACAAACCACAACACCACATTTCCAGCTTATAAAACATGCAAATGGCTCGTCGGGTGCTTTTTCTGAAGGAGAGAAGAATTAAACTCTCCAATACATATCTAGACTAGGCTCTAATTATTAGATTGGTTCACGGATCTCTAATGGATCTTTGATGACAGTGTACCATGAGCTAACAGGTTAAAAAACAGACCCAAGTTTAGCACTTTATACATGTTTAGACCAAACTCATCTTACAGAGAGAACTGGATCTATAAAAGGAATACCTGGGTTGCTTTACCGCATTGTATTTTAACCCTAGAAGAATTGAGGTAGTTCCAGTATTTGATTTAAAAGGGAGTTTTGTCCTTAAGTGCTACAGAAAAGGTTTGCAAACTGCTTCCTTCACCCTCCCCACACACCTTTACTCTGCAGGTGCAGCAGAGCCAGGTAAAGCTGTACATACGTACATCAGCAAGTTCCCTGGAGCAGACATGGACCTCTCCTCTCGCCTGGTCTGAACCTCGAACGGGTTTCCAAAGGAGCGTTTTCTCAGCATGGCCTTCACTAGGATCTTCGAGGAAGGAAAACAGATGAGTGAGAACAGCGGGGCTGACACATCACCCGCTTGAAGCCAGTTCAGAGGAGTCTAACAACAGCTTCTTTAATAATTCAACAGACATTTAGTGTTACAGCTAGAGCATAAGCTAGAAAAACCCACAGAGCAGCTACGTGACTTCCAGGCAGTGTCAAGGCGGTGAGGTCAGGCGTCTGGATGCAGACCGTTGCTGGCAAGAGGCAAAGAGGATGATGCTGACCGCTGCCTGCCACTCCTGGTGGGCCAAGTCCATGAGAAGGAGGGACCAGAGCTGTCCTGGGCCACCCTCCCAGGCAGGCACTGCCAGGAGCACACATGCACCCTCTGCAAACCACCTTCCCCAGCTGAGAGCTTCCCCAGAGCACCACGCTCTTGCCCCATGCAGAGGATGTGGTTGCGGTTTGTACGTACCACAGCTGGTAAACTCGGAATCGTCTTCACCGAGTTCTTCACCTCCTCCTCCGTCACCTCCACCACAGTGCAGTGCTCCTCCTCCAGTGGCAGGGGCTCCTCGCCGCCCTTTGTCAGCCAGGGGTGCACCTGTGTGGTGGGAACACAGACAGCGGTAGCTCTCCCTTCTGCAGCAGAGAGCTGGGATGTCAGTGATGAGAGGGAAACAGGGGCACGGGGCAGATTATGGGGGTATGGACTCATTTTCCACTTCCAGTAATTTGCTTCAACCAGCTCCCTTGGGCATGGCTGCAGCCTGGAGCCTGGCCAGGTGGCATCTTGGAGAAACCCAGCACCCTCTGAATTATGTTTGGAACACTTTGAAAATCTGAGTTAACCAGAGAGTTTTCATCTTTTCCTCTCACACGCACACGTTTCACCCAGGGTTACGCAAGCTCATGATCTGTGACAATCGAGGTCATTTACGCATCTGCACAAACAAGGGGTTCAGATGCTTAAAAGAGAATATTTGGATCTGCATAGTGAGGCCACATGCTACTTGAACAGCCTCCTGCCTGCAGAAATAGGGAAATAACTGTCTGAGCACCACACAAACCTCCGCACACCCACGCAAAGGAGAGAGAAGGCAGTTTCCCACCATCCCTCCCTGTCAGTGCTGTGGAAGGGAGCTGAAGGCAGGAGGGGGTGAGGGTCTCTGCAACCCACACCCAGGGCTGCACATTTTGCCCATCAGGGAGAGCATCCTCCGGTGCTGCAGCCAGAAAGGCCCTCTAGGACAAGCAGTTTAGATAGGACAGGTGCTCACCGCCTACTGCCCTTCCAGTGGGTTGGATGCACGTGTCTTGAATGTTCTCCAAGCGCGTAACAATGAGCTGCTTCACAGCACTTAAGTATTTTCCAAAGATCATTAATTGTGCTGATAATAACTCTTTTCAAAGGCACAACAGCACATCCAGCCTTAAGTGGAACCACGACACCGAACCCTACAGCCTACCTGGGGCTTGCAAACATTTTAGCTAGGGAGAGGACTGTGTCTAGCCACATGTTCAAAGCTCCTCATATGATTTATTTTGATGGGGAACAGCAATTTCAAATCCAGTTGGGCAGAGCCATTAAGCTATTTGTCCAGCCTAACCCCCTTAATATAATTTTACCGCCTCCTTCAAGCTTTTGCCGTGTTTATCTTCAATGTAGACATCAGAGATTTATCGGCTGACAAACAATCACACATGAGAAGCGGCATCGAGTTAATGCTTGCCTGCAGAAGAACATCTGCAGTGGCAGCAGCGTTTTATCTTACAAGTAAGGAAGATGAAAGAGAAAGAGGAGGGGAGTGTGAAAACAGGGGAAAACAAAAAGGGAAGGAGCCCTGGGAGGAGGAGAAAACCTGGAAGAGCCACTTGGAAATGTGAGACTGTGCAAGGAGCCCAGGCTGGAGCACCGATCCATGCTATATGTTACTTTAGAGCAAAGAAGCTCCTCAGGGTTCGCTGGTGACTACGAACACAGAGGCAGCGCGTCATCCCCTCATCCAGATTGCATAAGCTGCAACGCGTCAGGCTCTCCTGTACTCTCCAGGTTGAATTCCTCTGGCCAACGCCTCCTGGGATGGTGGCAGTCATTGCACAGCCACTTCTGCCAAGAAGCTGCTTGGCCATCACCTTACTTGTGGGAACAGCAGAGGAAAGCTGCCCTTTGTCTGCTGCCCCCCAAGGGATGATTTCCTTGGCTGTGAATGTGAGGAAAACAGTGTTCGAGGCCCTGGGCTGAGCTTAGAGCCCAGCCTGGTGCTCTTCAATGCTCTTCTCGCATTGAACACAAGCCCTCAAGCACACCAAGCATCTTCTGCGTGAAGCGCTTGCAAGGGCTGGCCAAGCAAAATCCCTTAAATACAGCTTCAAAGGACTTCCCACCATCACTGGCTGTGGCCTCCTGGGTCAGCTTTGGCAGCAAACATGCTGCTGTCGGCCTGAGACAAAGCGAAGAAGAGTCGTGTGCCTTGCAAAGGATGCTGATGGACCTCTGTGGAAATCTTGAGGGAGTCCACCAGGTCCAAGGCCTCGGTGAAGGGTGACAGGAGGACAGAAAGCCCATGAAAAAACACAACAAAGCCAAACCCTGGCAAGCTGTGTGCTCTGGTAGTTCAAGTCGATCTCTGTGTTAACAAGCATCTCACAAGTAAAGCTGACAGAAACAAATGTGCTGCCTTGAGGCCGCTGACCACGCAAGCACTGGGAGGAACGTGCTTCCAACACGGGGCCAGCGCTGACAGCACGGGCTCTGCAGCTAGCAGTCCCCATGACAAGGACGGTTCTCCCAGGGATTCACTGAGGATCAGCCAGCTTTTGAGTAATTTTGATTTAAATAAGTAAACAAGAAAGCTTTTGTCAATATTCCCCAAGCTAGCAGCAGCGACAGAGCTGTTAGACGCTGCAAAATGAGCGCCCTCCCTTTCCAAGGCGGCGTGCCAGAGAAAGCTCCCAAAACAAACACCGGGAACAGCTCTGCCTCATTAGAAGGTACCACAGGATCAACAAAATCAGCTGAGACAAAAGACTATAACATCAATGCCTAATTTACCTTAATTTCAGGGACTGTTATCCTTGTTTCTGGATTTTTATCAAGCATGCGTAGGATCAGTTCCTTGAGCTCTTCACTCCTCTGTGCTCTGAGTACAGAAAACAGTACAGAGTTAACAAGGGAACTGTGAGTGCTCAAGGCATGCACGGTCCTCCCTGCGGTTACTTGGTAGAGAAACTCCTCCGCTGAGAAAATATTTTCCCCACAAACTTAAGAAAGGAAGGTCTAATTGCTTTGGTTGCTTCTCAGGCATCATGGTCACTGCTACGGGGTTTGGGGATCCCGTTCTGCCCACTAACCCAGCCCCAAACGCCCTCGAAATGCAGGAGGAGGGATGGGGTGAATGGCTCTAAGGACATTTTTGAAGGGATCACATTATAGAGGAATTTCAGAGGACAGATCCTGGGACAACGAAGCGTTATTGAGAGCAGAACTGGAACTGGGCTCTATGATACAAGAAAGGCATAACTTGTTTTGCCAAATCTGCATCCTGAGCTGGAAGAAACATCCCCATCTGACACTTGAGGTCTCAGCTAAGCTTGTAGGTCTTGTTAATTAAATTGCTTCCACGAACGCTGATGGCAGACACTTCGGTAACTCTGTATTTCCTACACGTATAGCTCAGCCTTGGCGTAACACAAAGAGGGAGCAAACAGATGAGATTAAGAGAAATACATCGAATTTTTTAACAGTACTTCCAAGATCTAAATGCTGGAGTTGCTGAACCCAGAAGTCACCCTATTCCCATGGAGCCCTTGGTCCTGTGCCTCTAATCCAAAGGCTTTAAAGACCTCTAATGACGCTGGCAACATCTTTAAAACACACTTGACCTGTACAACCCAGGTGCTATGAAATAAAATGCCAGCGTACGACGGAACGGCGTTAGGCAGCTGAAAGTCTGCATCACAAATGACTTCTGAGGAGCTGTGTTTCTGCACAGAGGTGGGATTTAGTAGCACAACATGTCACTCCCCAGCAGGGCTGCAGATTGAAAAGCACAGATGAGGACCAAGTCCTGTGCCCACCTTCTCTCCAACCCCTCCCAGCCTGAATGAAGACCACATTACCCTGAGGGATATTACAGACCCATGGAAACAGAGCTGCTGTTTAATAATCTATGACTACTTCATGTGTGCTTTGGTTGCGGGATGTTTAACAATGAACCACAAGCAAACACTGCTCGTTCAGTGGGAAGGGGCAGAAAGTTGAGTTTAAAGTCTGGGCAAGGGCAGGATGAGTCCTCGGAGACTTCCCACCTCCCAGAGAGTTTTTAAAAATGAGAGTTTTTAAAATATTTCCCATCAGATCTGTGCACCAAAGCGGCAACAGCATAATGCAAAATATAAGAACTATATAATCACTTAATGCTTCTGGGCATGAGATCGATTTCTACGGAACGCAGGATTAGCGTAACAGGATCAGAAAGCATCAGGTGGGCTATGGCCAGGTGACAGATCACAGTGCCCTCTCTCTGTTTTCCCCTCTCTCCCTTCTGCCAGCGGTGCGTGCTGTACGCGATGGCATTTCTCATCTGACGAGCCTGCGCTCTCTGGAATTTCTCAGAGTCACAGTGCTGAAACAGCTCTCAAGAAAACACCGAGCGTCACAAAGCTCAGCACCCCGTCGGGAGGGCTGCCAGCACCGCAGATCGTTGTACTGCACGCCCGCAGGTCAAAGATCGTCGTCCTGGACTTCAGCTCTTCACCAGGAGAGACTACACGAAGCTTCTGACTCTCTTAATACACTCCTGGACTGAAACTTCTCCAGCTTGCTTTTTAGCCATGCCAGGACCGTCAGGGTGTGATCTAACTCCATTTACCTTGTGTCATGCCAAGGACTCACTGACATGAATGAGCACTCCAGAGCGATAAATATTTATCCCAGCGTCTCTAAGAGAAGGGAAAGGACAGTGATGCTGGTACATTCAGCTCCGTCTCTGTCCTAAACGTTGTCAGGAAACAGGCAATGAGTTTCCATGGGCTGTCTGCACACAGGAATGTGTCTTTTGTAGCCATGGTGAAATAAATTGAAACCAAAATAATCCTAACCGTAGCGAGGTGATAATTCTGTGGGAGGTCAAGGTGGATCCAGTCCAGCAAATTCCAGCTTTATGTGCATCACTGCGACTGCCTTTATCTAACACATAAATGTAGTTTAGAAGCCATCAACACCCAGTAATTCAACAACCTAACGATGGGTGCAGCTCTATTTAGACTGGGACAGCAGGTCACAGAGAAATCCGAAGAAATCATCTTGCAGCTGAATTACCTCTGAAGGAAATGTCTGAATGAAGAAAAGGATCTTAGCACAGCCCAGTTAGCCCATTAAACGTTAATAACTTAACTGCAGACACAGATGGGAACAGTCACTTGTAAGCTGACTGCTAACCCAAATACACGATGGCTGAGAGAGGATGGGCAGTTTGCCAGGGCCCAAGCAAGCAGCGAGAAGACTGCCAGGGAAACCGAAACAATTTTTTATTTTATTTTTTTTTTTAATTTTTGCTGCAGTGTTGTCAAGACAAAGCCCTGCCCTGACCGCAGCGCAACCGGTGGGAACCCAGCAATGTGGCGTGACCGCGCCTGAAGCCTCGTTAGCTGTAAAACCTGACCAAGGGCACGAGGCTGGCTTGCCCGGATTGCTCCATGCCCACGAGGCCCGTGTTTGCCATCTAACTCGTGGCCACAGCTCCTTGGGAGATGGGCTCCACGCTCCTCGGTGTGGGCTCCACCAGGCTGAGCAGAGACGAGCTGCCTGCAGCTTCGTGGTCCGTGGAGAGGTCACCAATGCAGCCCAGGGAGCCTGGGGCATGAGAGAGCTCGGCTCAAGCCGATGTCTAAAATAGGACAGCCTGAGCACCCCTTGCTTTCTGCAGACTCAGAAGGATGCCTGAGGTTGCCAAGACAGAGGCCCAGCCCTTCGCTGCAGGTGTCTAAAAGTTCCGTGAGGACCTCACACTAAAATCATGGAACAGATGGTGGACACACGCTTGTGTCGCGGGCTGCCTGACAGCCTCCCTCCCTCTCTAATACCAGGGGTGTCTTTCATGAGAGTTTTAATTTCTTCATGCTCGTTTCAAATCAAGTCATTTCATCCCTACGTTTTTATTAGAATGAGCAGCTGGGTCAAGAAAGTCAAAAACTCTTTGCCTGACTATTTGGGAAGGAAAACTAAAAAGTCTAGTATTGGCTACATCATCTGATGGTAACCACAAGCAAATTAACCCCCAAGAGCAAGTCGTCAGAGGCCTGAAGCTGGAGGAGACGCCGAGGAGTGGCCAGTGCATGAAGGGGAAGGCACGGCGGCCGGTGGCAGAGACCGAGCAGACCCCAAGTGTAAGCACCCCCTGCCAGGCTCATCTGGCACCATCACACACACTCCTCACTCTCTGCCTTGATGCTGAGCAACCCGCTGCTCAAACAGCCCCTGAGTGGTCTTGGCCTGTCCCCCCACCCTGCGGAGAGCACTTCTGGGGCCACAGTTGTGCATCTCAGGACGAGCCTCCTCCCACCAGACGCCTCCCCCGGCTCCAAGGCAAGCCCTCAGAAGCAGCACGTGCTCCGAGACCGAGGTCTCTAAGCTTTTCTGAAGTTCGTTGCTTTTGAAAACCAATGCACTGAATCATCTCAGTGACTACTGAACACAAAACCCCAACCAAACCATGCCTTCAACATCTCCATGGTCAAGCAGCCGTGGCAGAACTCCCTAGACCCATAACGAAACCCCTTTGCTTCCACAGATTTCAAGAGCCGTTTCCTCCAGTGCCCAGCATGGGCACAGGAGCAGCAGAGGCAGCTGGAACGCTTCGACAACACCTGCACAAAGCCCTCGTGGAGGAGCCGGGGGAAAGCAAAGCACCTCGCTCACCCTCGCCCGTCCCTCTGCGGTGACCCACCGGCATTTACGCCGTACAGCGAGCAACCATGAAAACTGAACTTCATTTTACAGTAGCTGAGTAAAGTTTACTTACTCTTCTGGGAACTCTACAGGCTTGTTCTTGATCCTGTTATGAAGACCCAGAATATATTCATCTATAAAAGGGCACTGCAAAGCAAACAAAAGATTTTCCAGTTGTCAGAGATCCTGGCACTGCTCAGGCGTTTGTCGTTCACGTAACAGAAGCAAACTGTCTGTTTGCACTCTCTTAGTTTTACACAGAGACGGAAATAAATAACACGCACACAATAAGTGGATTTGTTCCTCGCTAAAAAAAATAAATGCAGAAGAACGGCAGGGGGATCTGGGGAGTACACAACTGGACCAGGATACCCTCTTCATCCAGCCCAACAGTTGATCACAAACTACTTATTTTCCTTTTCTTTGCTCCACTCCCCCCTGCAAAATCGAGACACTGATAGCAGCTGGCTTGCACCACTACTTTGAGGTCTCTACGACAAGCATCATTTGGAACTAGGTATCGCTATTAAAACACTTGAGTTTCCATTTTAAATTCAGATATTTGGATACAAAACCTATTTTTGTGGAGCACAACTTTTCCTGCCGGATTCATTTCGATATAGTTCCTGGCCTGTCCTACCTGTCAGGGCAGGCAGCTACCTGAGCTGTGGTGAATACCACAGGGGACATAGGAGCAGCATGTTCACCCAGCCTATGAACATCTGCACTTGTTTTAGTGGGCTGTGGGCTGCTGGCAGGCCTGCCTGGCTGGATAGATTAAATTATGGAATACAAAACAGGCACAAAATGTACAATATTTACTGTACAGAGTCACATGGAACAAACATATCCTTGCATTTGCCTTTATATTCCCTCTTTCTTTCCTCAGAGGGAAATAATATCACCATGAGGTTATATCAGAATATAAAATCAAGTTATACCCTTCCACTTGAGGATTTGGCCCAAATGAGACATCGTTATGGATGCAGATCAGGGAATATTTTCCACCCTGACTCGGCTCAGCGATATCAGACCAGCAATGGAGATAATTCAGCCTTCGCCATCTCCCCCAGCCACTTCTTACCCCGAGCTGGACTCCTTATGCCTTTGTGGTGGGATCTGCGGTGGTCTGGGCTTGGACAGGAGGTTCAGGTAACGTACCTGCACACACAGACCGCACGTACCTGCTGTTCTGCCTGCCCTGGGAGAGAGCACGGTTGGGACAAGGGGCTTCTGGTGGCAGGAGAGGGAAAAGCCATTACAGGAGACAGAGTTTGCAGAAGGCAGCTCTGAAGAGCTGGCTCTGCTGAAAGCGGTCTCCATCTGGCCCAGCTCAGCTCTGGCAGGCAGAGCTTTCTGTAATCTGGATTGCTAACGTGCTGCAGTGGCTTGGGATTGAATTTATTCTTCTCTCCACACTTTGTCTGGCCTGTTACTAAATACAGGCGATACAGATAACTCCCTGACAAAACGCCGTTGGTGCTGCTGACGCTGCTCTGGGTTTGCAGCACAAACGACTGCTCTGAGTAAGGGGCCAACTCTAGAAACCACCATGCCCACAGATCACAGCGTCACCTCCTTGCCATCCACAGGGTGATCTGGGAGAGGGGGAGCTTGCAGAAGGTAGGTCTTTGTGTCTAATATCTGCCTTTATTTGGAAAGGAATGAGTCAAAAGCCAGGCGGGCAGATGCGGCCGCGCAGGGCTCCAGTGAGCGAAAGCCAGCTTACCTTCCCGTAAACAAAGCAGTACAGGGTGATCCCCATGGCCCAGACGTCAAGCGCCTGAAAGAAAGCACGCACGGGCACTAAACAAGATGCAGCACAGAGACAGTTTCCCCACCGACTCACAGGACATCAATCACATGCACTTAATATCTCCTGTTGTACGGTGCAGAGCCGCTCTGAGGTTGGGCTCCTAAAGGCATCTGCAGGGTGCCTGGGGGAGGAGGACTGTGCTGGGCCAGACACTGTTGCCCTTGGTTTTGCTGTGGGGCTCAGCGACCAGCAAGCAGCCCCTTCTTACAGGAGATGACACCTTTCAGGGCTGAACTTCAAAAAGGAGCCCTCAGAAGCCTCCTTTGAGGCAAAACCCCCGCACCAGAGCCTATCCCCACAGCCTTCACACCGCTCCTCGTTCTCAGGGTTCATGACCTCGGTGTGCAGCAACCCCCTCTGCCTCTTGATTATTTCGGGAGAGAATCAAGAGTTTCCTCCTTTCCCTTTCGGCAGGGGTCCACGACAAACCTTGTTTGCTGCACAGAACAACCAACGTGAATTTTGCCTGGACTGAACATGGAATTAGAGCTTCAGTTTTCCTTAACAACCACTCTCATTTGCACCACAGTCTCTGAGTGGGTGACGTGCAACGGATGCAGGTGTGGTGTTGCCCTTTGTGCCATGCCTGGGGGGTCCCAGGAGACACCAGCTGGGAGCAAAGACTTACCTTTCCACTGAAACTTTTGCCAGTGTCTGAAATGGCCTCTGGTGCCATGAAGGCTGGTGTCCCTGCCGTGCTGGAAAGCTGGGCATCGTTCCCTTCAAACTGATTGCTGACTCCAAAATCGGCAATTTTGACATGCCCATCATCTCCTAAGAGCAAGTTGGAAGGCTTGATGTCCCGGTGAATGATCTTCTGGTAGTGCACTAAATAAAAAAATAAATAAAATTATCTATCTATATCAAAGGAGTTATACAAAACCAGAAGCACGGTCTGCAACAGTAGCCAACACACACAGGGAAAACCTTTCCAGGAGGATGAAAATAAAGGTGCAAGCTCAGGCACCCCACTCAAAGCTGCTGCTGGATATGCAATATAATGTAGCAGAAGTGTCATTTCCTACAGCCATTCCTTTTCGGTGCCTCACTGGGACGTGCACCAGAGTACAACGCTCAGAAACACAGCTGTCACCAGTAATTATGCAAAGAACAGACATGAACCCAGAAACAGAGCTGTTCGAGAAGGAAACCATTCAAATCCTGCAGATCAGCCTCACTGTACTGGCTGCTGGGCTGGGCAACTTGCAGCATGAAAGGTTTATGGGATCCAAATTCGTTTATTTGGAAACTGCAGCACTGTAAAGCTAATCAAAAGGGGTAGAATGGAACAGGCCCAGAGGAGATACTCAGGCAATCAGCAGCTGAGCACCGAGTGGAGCAAACAGCTCAGGAATCAGTGGGTACTTCCAGCTCCAAAGGTGCCTCTGGCCAGGGAGCAATCACCAGCTGGTGGGTGCCAGCATCGCCAGGAAGGTGCCCACTCTCTAGTCCTGCTTTGCAGTAGAGCCCACAAAAACAGAGAAATAATTGTACACAGCAAAAATGAAAGAAACCCTTACAAAGAGCTTGGAGGCTGAGACGCACAACAGCAAAAGCCCTCTGGTTATGAGCTACCTGGGAAGCAACGTTGTGGCTGCAAGAAAGTCATTTCTGGGCCACTGAGTGAAGGGAGTTGTAGGAAAGTGGCTGACTTCTCAAGAGCTTGGAGAACAAATTAAAATAAAAACTTTTTGAACGCAAAACGACTGCAAAAGCGGAACTGTAGAAAACCCAAGAGACTTTACTGAAGAGGAGAGACAATCCTTTAAGTCTGCACTGCCCTGTCCCAGGGGAACAGGACTCCTCAGCCTCTTTCCTCCCCCAAGCACCACTTTCGTATTTCCTTCTTGCAAATGGAACGTGTTTGTTTTTATACCTCACCATGAGTGCTTCCCATATCTCCTAGGAAATAAGCAGTTGGGTGGGGGAAAACGCTGGTCTAACCCTTTCCTGCTTGACAAAACCTGGTTAACACTGCCACAAAGGCAGCCTGCCCGACAGAGCCTCCCAATTTGTGGTTTAGGGCTAAGAAAGAACAGATTTCATGTAACTCTTCCGCTCTGCTCAAACCAGCTTTCCAGCAGGCTGTGTCTGGGGAGGAAGAGCCACACTTACAGATAATTCCATGAGGATGACTCCTTAGTTTAAAGCACTGCTGGGGGATCATAGACTGGCCTAGGCTGGAAGAGACCCTAAAGATCATTTAATCCAATGCCCTGCCATGGGCAGGGACGCCTCTCAACTAGATCAGGCTACTCAAGGCTCCGTCCAACCTGGCCTTGAACACCTCCGGGGAGGGGGCAGCCACAACATCTCTGGGCCATTTATTCCAAAGTCTTGCCGCCCTCGTACAGAAGAATTTCTTCCTGAAATCTAATCTAAATCTATTCTCCTTCAACTTAAACCCATTTCCCCTTGTCCTATCGCTGGACACTCTTGTCCCTCCCCAGCCTCCCTGTAGGTTCCCTTCAGGTACTGGAAGGCAGCTACTAGGTCCCCCCGGAGTCTTCTTTTTTCCAGACTGGCCAACCCCAGCTCCCACAGCCT